GTGCAGTTGCTGGGGGTCATGGCCTGCAACTCAGGCATGTACCCTGACTGGGAATCGAACCTGTGACACTTTGGTTCACAGCCCAAGCTCAATCCACTGAGCTACGCCAGCCAGGGGCAAGATTTCTTTTGAGAAATCAGCTGACAGTCTTATGGGAACTCCTTTGTAGGTAACTGTCTCCTTTTCTCCTGCTGCTTTTAGGATTCTCTCCTTATCTTTAATCTTGGGTAATGCAATTATGATGTGTCTTGCTATGTGCTTCCTCAGATCCAACTTCTTTGGGACTCTGTGTTTCCGGGACTTCCTGGAAGTCTAATTCCTTTACCAGATTGGGGAAGTTTTCCTTCATTATGTTTTCAAGTAAGTTTTCAAATTCTTGCTCTTCCTCTTCTCCTTCTGGCACTCCCCTGATTCAGATGTTGGAATGTTTCAAGTTGTCCTGGAGGTTCCTAACCCTCTCTTCATTTTTTTTGAATTCTTGTTTCTTGATTCTGTTCCTGTCGAATGTTTATTTCTTCCTTCTGCTTCAAACTGTTGATTTGAGTTCTGGTTTCCTTCCCTTCACTGTTGACTCCCTGTACATTTTCTTTTATTTCACTTTTCACAGCCTTCACTTTTCCCTCTATTTTGTGACCATACTCAACCAATTCTGTGAACATCCTAATTACCAGTGATTTGAACTGTGCACCTGATAGGTTGGCTATCTCTTCATCACTTAGTTATATTTTTTCTGGAGCTTTGAAGTCCCCTTAAAAAAATATTTTAAAAGCAGCAAAAAAAGGAGGGGGCATATCATATACAAAGGATTAATGGTGAGAATCAAAACTTTCATCTGAAGCAATGAAGGCTGAAGACAATAGAATGATTTTTAAAATGCTGAAAGAAACAGCTGTCAACCTGAAATTCTAAATTCAGCAAAAACACCTTTCACACATGCAGGTGAAATAGACATTCTCAGACAAACAAAAGCTCACAGAATGTCTCCAACAGAGCTGAGCTACAAGAAATTAATATTAGAAGAAATTCTACAGACTAAAGAAAAATTATTCCAAAATGCAAGCACAGGTTTGCATGAAGGAAAAAGAGCACTGGAAAAGCTTTATATGTAGGTATGTATTTATTATTTTTTCTTTGTTTAAAGCCACAAAAATGTATGATGAGGTTTATACCATAAAGAAGTAAAATATGTGACACTATCACAAGACATAGAAGGGGTCTCAAGTGGAATTACATTAAGTGAAGGATATATGTCCCTAACTAATTACATGGGAATCCCAAAGCAAACCGAGGCAGTCTGGTCCCCAAGCAATTTATCTGAACCACTTTTCAATGCTGCTGTTTGTCAAACCAACACTTTTGTCACTATTTGATTCCTTTACAAAGTTGTAATATTGACAGTAATGTATTCTTAGCATTTTAATCAGATCATAATTGGACCGAGAAATCCATGGGATTCCAAAGACCTGTCCTGCTCACAACCTCTTCTAGGTTGCCAGTGTTGGGTCCTTCCACAAAATTTGCTATGCCTGGTGGCTTGCAGCCCTGCTGTACTGGCCGCAAGTGACTACACCAGGGATCTATGCCTTAGTTAAGGATGGCTATCCTCTGGGTGGACATAAAAGAGACCAGAATGACCCAGTAATCTGTGCCCAATCAGGGAACTCTCTTTTGGATTATGACTAGAAGAATCAATCGGACCTCTTTCAGAGACAGAAGTAGCAGAAGAAATGTGCAGAGAGAAGCAGGAAAACACATGAAGAAGAGCACATACATTGTGACTACGCAGCAATGGACATCCATTTCAAGATGAGGACACAACCCAGACATCGGAGCTGCTGGGTCTTCTGTAGGACAAAGATCTATTTTCTTAGCTTTCCAAGGAACCGTGCCTCTTAAGAGACAAAGGCCTTATTGGCCTCTGCATTCTTAAAATAAACCTCCAGCATTTAAGATAACATGCCTTTGTTCCTTGCAACCTCAAGGATCCTGTCCAAACTTACATTAAAAAAAAAAAATCAGACTTCAATACACAGAACATTAAACCGAATATTTCAGGCATAAAACACAATGTAAAAAGGGGTTATACAGCCTGAGGCAATGGCATGTTCTTTACTACAGGGAATTTTTTTTAACGTGCTATGACAATTACTACATAGTTGGTCAAAGATAAATGAAAATGTGAATAGTTAAGCACCCACAGAGTCCTCTCAATGCCATTCAAAAAGAGAATTCTTCAAACATTTAATACAAGAAGTAAGGGTACATTTGGAAGGCATTAATAACTCTGCATATTTTCCTGGGCTCTTAATATCAAAGCAAAATTAATTTTCAACTGATAAAATTAATTTTTAAAGATACCTCAGTTAGCCCTGGCTGGCGTAGCTCAGTGGATTGAGTGCGGGCTGCAAACCAAAGTGTCGTAGGTTCCATTCCCAGTCAGAGCACATGCCTGGGTTGCAGGCCACGGCCCCCAGTAACCGCACATGTTGATGTTTCTCTCTCTTTCTCCCTCCCTTCCCTCTCTAAAAATAAATAAAATCTTTAAAAAGAAAAAAAGATACCTCAGTTAAAGATATTGTATCTCTCTATATAGGTATTGTATCTCTCTACAATCTTTTTGTCATAACCAAAATAGGCTATTAGGAAGAGGATACACAAGGTCTGTCCAGAAGGTATCCAGCCATGTAACATGAAAAATAGACAGTTTTTGAAGAAGCTACAAGAAACATTGTACATAGGACAATGACGTCTCAGTCCCATTCAAAGTAGTCACCTTGGGACCTCACACAGTTCTTCCAGTCACCATCAGCTGCCCAGTCACATTTTCCTGAATTTCATCAACAGCCTGAAATCTCTTCCCTTTATAAGGTGATTTTACCTTTGAGAAAAGCCAGAAGTTAATAGGCCCCACATCTGGGCTGTACAGGGACTGAGTCACCTGGGTGATCTGATGTTTCATCAAAAAACTCTGCATGAGACATGATACATGAGTAGGCTCATTGTCATGATGAAGCTGCAGCCTTCTGAATCATCCGAATAATTCTGTGGAGGACTGTTCAAGCTTAACACAAAATTTGATGCAGATTCATTGCTCTACTTGCTCAGTCATTTTGAATGCAATGACCACACAGTACACATGCTCACTCAATGGTGTCTACCACCCCACCGACTAGCACAGTGAAGTTGTCTTTGTTCACACATGCGCATTCCAGTCCACTTTCCTCGCTGCCGGGTTACATTGATGTCATGTAAACCATCCTCATTATATTAACAATGGCTGAACTTTTTCTGACAGACCTCGTATATTGTACCTAATCCAAGTGGAAAAAAAGGAAAACCAGGTGTTCCTTAAATTGTCTGTTCAGCCATAGCTTTGTCGCATACCAATCTGAAGATCTTTGTTAGCACATGCTTTCAGCTATCATGACAAGAAAATCACTTAAAAAATCATGCGATTCCACATAAGAAACTTTGCTTGAGGCGACAGGCGCATGATGCAGTGTGTAGATGATGTTTTATCAAGTTGTAGACTTGAAAACCTGTATGGTTTTGTGAGCAGATGTCACCCTAATAAATTCAATTAAAAAAAAAACAAAACACATGGCCCTGGCTGGTTTGGCTCAGTGGACTGAGCTCAGGCTGCAAATCAAGGAGTTGCTGGTTTGATCCCCAGTCAGGGCACATGCCTAGGTTGCAGGCCAGGTCCCCAGTGAAGGCCACATGAGAGGCAACCACACACTGATGTTTCTCTCCCTCTCTTTCTAAATGTGAATAAATAAAATCTTTGAGGGGAAAAAAAAGGGACAAAGTTAAAAAAACACACACATGAAGCACTAATTATCATTCCGGTTTCCTTGGCATCCAAGTACATTTTAAAAGCTTACACTTTCCAGTAGTTAATGATTTTGAAGCTGAGTATTCATATCTTTGCATTTTTAAAGCATTATGCAGTTCTTAATATTTTTGACAAGTCAGTAATATAGTTCTGTTTTATCTTGAATTTACAGCTGAGAAAAGGATTTAATTAAAAAAATTATTTTAAGGATATACATGAGTGGCCAAACTAGGGTACAAGTTTTTGACTTTCCAATATCTACATAAGTGCGAGTATTCAAACCATTTAGATAAATGAATTTTTAATGCATTTGCCATTGTATTACTGCTCTAGAAATCCCTGTATAACAGCGGCCCCCAACTTTTTTGGCACCAGGGACTGGTTTCGTGGAAGACAATTTTTCCACAGACTGGGGATGGGGGCGTGGTTTGGGGATAATCCAAGCACATTACATTCAAGCTCACCTCCTGCTGTGCTGCCTGGTTCCTAACAGGCCCCACTGGTACCCTGTCCACAGCCCGGAGGCTGGGGACCCCTGCTGTGTAAGACAGTCTTTGCCTAAAAGTCGATTTATTATCCCTTCTTTGGCAGAAAATACCTCGCAGGTGGCACAACTGTGTTTGTTTCAGGGAAGGAGCACTTTAATCAGCTGTTGAAAAGATTGGGAGTGTCTCCTCCTACGGAATGTGTCCACACACAGTTAGGAAGCCTCTGCAGCATCAAGAGAAAGAGGTTATAAACCCCAGTGGAGCTCAGGTGTGCTCACACAACAGACACCCGTAACAGCACGAGAAAACAAAGACAACACACAAGGATTTCTCAACAGAACTGCCCGTTTTCAGGGTAGGTTCCTTCTGAAGACATCAATTACGATAGCTTATTTTCAAAATGGAAAATATTCCTCCGTAAGCATCCAGAGAAGCTGCATTTTCTTTATGGTCCCACTTCTTTTATTCATGCATTGCTTTTCAGATCCAAGGAAAGCTGGCATATAATATAAACTACTATAATTCCAATTCTCTACTTCGAACAATACTTTCATGTATTAAGATTTCTGAAAGTGGTATGATTTTAAAATGCAGCTTGCTTATGAACATGGCCACAATGCCTCTTCCCTTACAAAACATTAATTTAGTAATTATTTAATGTTAAAACCATGTATTTATGACTTGGTACAGACATTTTATTGCAATTAAGCTGAAAATGGAAACAGCTTAATTTAACAGGTAACTAGTATTTGAACACATTTTAATTCTGAAAACCTACTGTTGAACACAAATATTTCCTATTTTAACTCTGTTTGATAAGTTCTGATTTCACATTTAAAGCAAAGCTATCAACTGATTCATACCATATTTTCATAATATATTCATGAAAAACTTGCTATCAGCTAGAACACTACAGATGCTTTAACAACTCACATATCCTTAGTATAATTTTGTTACTTTTATCTATCTTTTTACATTTTCTGTTGTTAAGATCCAGGCTATATTCAACTGACAATTACAAAGATAAACAGTACACAGTCCCTTGCAAAAACAGTTAGTAGGAATGTAAGTTGGCAGTACTTTTGGAGAACAATTTGGCAATAATTATCGAAATTATTTGTGTGTATATACATACACACACAATTTGAAGAGCAAATTCACATGTAAATCTACCCAACAGAAACACCAAGATGTACACACAAAGGTCAACCCAGCACTGTTGGAAATAGTGGAAAGATGACAGGCGCCCACCTGTGCAGAAGAGGTAACAGGGCAGGGCTCAAGGCTGTTGTCCTTGGGAAGGCCTGTCTGCGTGGTCGGCTTTCGGCTACTGTCTGGGAACTTGGCTGGTGCACAGCTCCCTATATGACATAAAGCTCTCCCCAAGGACCCACACCTGGGTGTATGAAGCCATCATGGAACTGATGTACTACACATTATATAACTGCGACTCATCTGGTTTTAAAATAAACTTTATTGTTTAAGCCACATGAAAATGGCTTAATGCTTACAGTCCAAGGTATTCCTCTGGATTTCTGCTTCTGTTGGCTTATATAAAATGGCAATGAAATTATAGGCCAGAGTCTGCTGTTGTACCCACAGACACACTACTTACTAACTTTATCAAGTGTGGCAAGGCATCTGGAGGTATAGTTTCTTCACTGTACATGTGAAATGATACCTAGTATTTTACAAGTACTATTATGAAAAAATAGAGGGCTGCTCACTGTGTTAGCCGTACAATGTTACAAACTTGAATAATCAGACAAGTTCTAACGAATAACCTGGTCTACAAATGGCCAATAATGGGTCCATACTTCCAAGTGTCCCAACCCTGGAATATTTAAATCCCAGAAGCTCTGCCCAATGTCCACGTGTCATGCATGGGAAACAATTTTGTTCAGTAGCTAGTGTGATGACATATATTCTAATGAATTAAAGTTTTACTTGGGCAAGTGTTAGCAGTTTGATTTGACAAGATTATAGGTATCACACATTGTCACTCACAGGGCATTTACAGAATTCCTGAACACGCAATGCCGGAAAACGGCACGGGGCAGAATGAACTGTCAGACGGGCGAGCCCCCATGATAGGGAGAGGGTCTGCTACTGGCAGCAATCTAAACAATGTGGCCCAGGCAATCCCGTTTAAATGTCGCAAATGAGAAATTAACAGTGAAGCACATTTAGGAAGCTGTAGAATTTTCTTCTGAGTACCAACTATTCTATAACCATAGACACATTCTGGAACTTACATTACCACTCTTAAAGATTTTATCAGAAATAATCAGTATTTAAATGCTGTCCTTAATACATTTACTAATCATGTTATATATATGTATTTGGACAGATGCCTACATGTATCTATACATATATAAACAGAATACATACATACACACATAAATGTTAGGCCAAGGGAGCTTTAAAACAAGCACCAAAAAATATATAATTGACTACAAAAGTGGAAACTGAGCTTCTTAAGCTATCAATCACTTAAGTTACCATGTAAATTTCCTATATTAAAAAATAAAGCAAATAAGGCAAAAAGCTTGAGTGCACTTAACCATGCAATATATAAAATAGTTAATATACATCACAAGTCCATTAACAAATTGTAGATACAAAATAATTAGCCATTTATATGCAATAAACATTAATATTTAAAGAAAAAAGTTTTTAAATATATTACCAAAACTGTACTTGACAAATATCACAAAAGTTATAAGAAATATTAACATTTTTTAAATAACAGGATTACTTCTATTACATTCTAAATCAAAATTTTCTCTCCATTTATGCAGATTTCATAAAAAGTGTTAAAAATAAATTTGAATAAATTCTTACTCTAAGTTTTTGTATTTTTATTCTAGAACTATGTTAAAGTATTGCCATTTCAAAGAAATAACCTACAGTTTCTCAGAAGAAATATTTTTAATAACGGAAGTCTTCTGTTCAACATACAAAGTATAAATCTTTTCTTCTGTCAGAAGGCTCAAAATTACGAACTCTACACCAGGGTCTTTTTTCTAAGTTTTCTTTTCCTCTTGGGCACAGTGACCTCTAAAAACATAAAATTAAGAAGTCTGTCAGCTCTACAAAAATAATACTTAATTGATAATATGCACTTAAACTATATAGATGATAGACTGGTATTAAATAAGAATGCCACACAGCAAAGCTCCAACAAGAAATCTTAAACCGGACATATACATGATTTTTCCCACAAAATGATATTACAGTTGAAAACTTACTAACATAGACTCTAGTTATCTTAAATCCTACTTAATAATTAGCTACTCTGAAGTTGTTTCATAGGGGTGTGCCCTCCCTATAATTAGCATGGACGTAGTGTACAAGATCTGAAAGGTATCTAGGCTGGTGCAAAGAGAGATGAAGTGCCTACGATTTCAATTTCATTTGCATTAAACCTGAAAATGTAACCCAAAACACTAGTACCATACATCTTTTTGGCTATCACAGCAGACGCCAGAACCAACATGCAAACAGGCGTCCATGTAGAGACAGTTGTGAACCTAGTAGTTACAGGTCATTAAAAACAAAGAAAATAACAGAAGATACAAAAACATGAAAATTATGAAAAATGTAAAGAAAAGAAATATTCCCCACCAATGAAAAACAAAAGGGGGGTAACAAGAAAAGGTGTAAGAAAAGAAAAAGGAAACAGACTCCTAGAAGAACATGGCTGCCAGGACAGAGCGCGGGGCCCCGTGAACCAACCGCCCAGAGGACAGCACGCCCAGGCCTGGAGGAGACTTCTTCACAGAGGTGGGACCAACGGGTGCCTGGCGCTCAAGCGTACCAAGAGGGGGTTTACTATTGAGGAAGAAGAGTCTGGGGGTCAATCAGTGACAAGTACACAGAAAAAATAAATTAGTAAGGCAAAAAGAATTTATTAACTCTCTAGAGAAAAATAAAATGTAGAGATTAAGGAAGAATCATAGCATATCGCATGGCCCTACTGCCAATAATGCTTTGTAAATGCTGAATACCAACACAACTAAAGTAATAATTATATCGGGAGGGTGGAGCTGGAAAGCATTCAGGTGTTTAGGGTAGGAAGCAAAGGTACAAGAGATTAAATCCTCACCTTCCTCAGTGGGTAGTCAATACATAATCCACAGAATTGAAATATGAACAAATACAATATGAACATGTTATTTAGAGACACAGAGTTAAGCACGATAATTAGCAAAGGGTTAAAAGTGGCTCTCCCTGGGAAGTAATAAATGGCAGAGTTAGAAGACTGGCTTCTTATAATGAGTATTATAAAATTACTTGAATTGTTAAATTACATGCATATATAATTATGATTAATGAAAACCAACTTTTTAAAAGTAACAAGCCAATGATTTTGGAATAGGACTTGCCAGCTAGCCATAAAGATGTGTGTGTAACTAATAGTTTACACACACAGAGTAAAAGCCAGCATGCAAGACAGGAGAGACACCAGTCTGAAACTCACAAGACTGTAAAGGACTGTTTTGTACTGAGGTAAGCAAATGACAGAAGCACTCAGATTTTTGAAGGAACAGACACTCCCTTTTACTTGTCTATTCCTTGTCTTCCCCGTGCTTTTACAGCACCCTGACTCTCTTTACCATAATGTGCTGGCTTATTTTCCTTCCACACTAAACTGTAAGGTCACTAGGGGCACAGACTGATAGGATTCATTCAACAAGTACATACTTAGGTCCACTCTGGGCCAGTCACTGTGCTCAGATCTACAATTACTATGATGAAAAGAAAATGGTTCTTAAATTCTTATAGTATGTATCTTTATATGCGTCTACCTAGCTAAGTGCTTGAAAGTAAGACACACCAAATAAATGCTTGCTGAATGAATATAGAACCCAAATGAAAAAAAAAACAGGCACTATTCTTAGTACATATATTCACTGTCATTGATGGATTTCCAATGACTATTCTGAGTGTCTTCATTATGTATGATTAATGCTAAAATTCTCCAACATGCCCAAGGCGAAAGCACAAGAACACACAGCCAACCCTCATGCTCTTCGGGCTTTCCTTCAGCAGTCGGACAAAATTTCATCTCTACCTGCTTCACTGTGACTGCCGTTCTCCTCGTCCTCTTCCGTAATTACAGGCATGCTCAGACTCAGGCATCTGTCTTCCTTCTGCAGGTTCTGTACGTCTCCTGCAAACAGATGGGAAAATGATTTTATGTGAAAACAAATGTTAACCTTTGATAAAAATTTCATACAAATAATGTCATTATTATAACAATATAAAAATTAGATGTTTAAACTAAAAGCTAAAATTGTTATGGTAAACAGAAATATGCATTTGAAAATGCCTTTTTTTAAGTCCTGGGTTGGCCAAAAAGTTTATTTTTGTTTTTGTTTTTTTCCATAACATGGCTCTAAGTAGTGCTTAGTTGTCTTTAACTTCGGAACAATTTTGCTAGATTGTATTGTGACAGCTGTCATAACAGCATGCTTTAAAAAAAAAAAATTCATCAGCCCTGGCTGGCTCAGTGGATTGACCACAGGCCCGCGAAGCAAAGGGTCATCGGTTTGATTCCCAGTCAGGGCACGTGTCTGAGTCATGGTCCAGGTCCCGTCTGGGGGGCATGCAAGAGGCAACTACACATTGATGTTTCTCTCCCTCTCTTTCTCTCTCCCTAACCCTCTCTCTACAAATAAATTTTTAAAAATTCATCAAAATTGGTGAATTTGGGGGTAGCCATTTTAATACTGAAGGTGGAGAAAGCACACAACATTTTTGGCATATTATACTTTACTATTTCAAGAAAGGTAAAAATACAACTGAAATGCAAAAGATTTGTGTAGTGTATGGAGAAGGTGCTGTTACTGATCTAATGTGCCAAAAGTGGTTTGTGAAGCTTCATGCTGGAAATGTCTCACTCAACAATGCTGCATAGCCATGTAGACCAGCTGAAGCTGACAGCAATCAAATCAAGACACCAGTTGAGAACAATTAACATTATAGCAAGTGGGAGATGGCCAATACTCAAATATCCAAATAAACAGTTATTGGTGAAAATGAAAAAATGTGTCTTTTATTTTACAGAACAAACCACACGAGTTTTTTGGTCAACCCAGTTTGTTCCCTCCTACCTACCATGCTATTCCTGGTAATAGCTAGGAGTGTTCTATACTGGGCATTAAGTATTTTCTAATGTTTCTAATGCTCCTTTTCTTGTAGAATGTTTTAAACTTTAACTTTTAAATAAGTCATTTCTTTAAGAACCAAATACCAAACGCATTTTATAGGTACACTATTTCAAAAGAAAAGCAGGTATAGCTTAACTAGTATAGCTAGAGGGAAATATGGTTTATAGAATGTTACTACTCACCATACCTTATTCTATACATAAGTTTGTTTCACACACAAAAATTACTAATAAAGTATGATCTGGAAAATTCTAGACTGATTCTACAACTATCTAGATATAGCACTTTGAACAGGTTATACTAATTAATCTGGGTGTAAATTTCATAATCTATGAAATGATGAATTTGATGAATACTTAAACTCCCTTTCTGCAGTGAAATTCTAAGAATGTAAGATAATTCATTTGTTTTTTCATATTAAATCTCACGAGGTTCTCAAACACGTATCTAACCCCTTTTTATAACAAAAAATCAGTGAAGGAAGATTGTAAATAAGACCCATTCTCCCTTGCTGAGTCTCAAAAAGACTTTAAAAGCTACCTCTTTTTCTGGAAGACATCTTCCTTCCTACTGATTTCAGTGTTTCTTTGTTTCTTTTCTTCCTGGTTGCTTTGATCTGTCCTTGACCAGATGCAGAATCAGAGTCAGAAGAGTCAACTTTGACTTGACGATGCCTTCTTGACTTGGAAGCCTTAAGTGTTAGAAATTCAATTACCCACAATGAATTACAAAATGAATCCAACTGATACAGACAAAATACAAAATCAAAGATGTGGGAAGAGTTACAAAAAACCAGGGTCTGGCAGAAATAACGCCACTGAGTGTGGTTGATAGGGTACATGAGTGTCTTGCATGAGATGGATAGCAATTTGAACATTTCACCTAAAATGTCATATGGTGTGCTTAAGTGTGGTATTGTTACATTACAAAATTACATGTAATAAAAGATTTTATGTAATAAAAAAAGGAGCATTATTTGTGCCAGACTTAGTGCCCCATATTTGTTGTGAGTGCTGTACCATTAGTCTGGCTTAACACCTGTCACACGGTATACTCTTTCATCATTACAACGAGCAAGTTCCTGCAGCCGCCATCACCACCTACTCAGACTGGGCCGACATGCAGTTGCAGCTGCACGGCTGGGAAATGGAGGCACACAGGACAAGTACTGTGCTTTACTGCCCACTAACCTATTCTCCCTTCTGAAATTTTATTTTCCTTAGTTACCACCATGTGTCCGAGTGGAACTACTTTATGCCTGGCTCCAGCTCTGGCCATATGGCCCTGATCTACTCAAAGTGAGTTTCATGACCTCTAGTTTGTCCAGGCAAATGATCTGCATCATAACTGATAAAACTCAATTTCAGATCTGTTAAACTGTTGGGAAATAAAATTCTCCCTTTCCGCTGGACCTGAACCTGGCAACACACAAGGCTGGAGCTATCACGAAGAGCACCTGAAGACGGTAAAGGCAACATAAAAGGTAAGATGTGTCCGGACAGTCCAGGGAGTTTTCGGTCCAGCAGTCAACGCCTAAGCAGGGCACTGATTAACACAGCAGCTTTCAGTTAATGGCACATACGCAGTGCAAGGAGGTATTAACTGGCTAATAGCTACCATGTACTATATGTTCACTGTACCTCAATAGAGGGAAAAAAACAAACTATGCAATAATACACTTCTAACAATTTATGGGGATTATGCTTTAATTAAGTGATTTTTTAAAATTATTTCATAATTTCTTAAGCATCAGTGACCACTATATAATAAGGAAACAGCTCTGGTTTCAAGGAATGTGGAATTAATTTATTGTTCTTACTGCTTTAATTCAACAATACCTTGTGCTCAAGTTACTGTGGTATGCACATATACAACACTTACATAATCTACAGTCACTTTTCATTTTTTTATTTATTCTTTTTTATTTCTACAACCAAGAATGATAGTAATTTCCCACAGAATACATTCTTACATTCATGGAAAAAATCCTGGAAAAAAATGGTATTAGTCACCTAAATTTATCAGTGCCCCCTCCTGAAACGCCACAAAATGAGTAAAGGAACAAAAATGAACAGACTCACAAAACAAAGATAATAAGAAACACAGCGTCTATTAAAAAAAATTGGAAGTGGGGAAGTGAATGACAGCTAACGACAGAATGAAGAAGGCTGAAACCTAACTGCCCATGTGGAGGGAGTTATTGGAAAGCAAGCTGATCCGAGTGGATCGGGAACGGAAGCCATCAGAAATGGGACTGAAAAATGGGGTAGACACGTTGAAAATCTACTTAGGGATCACAGTCCCAATTCTCAGCCCCCAAATTAACCAACTGATTTCTTCCTGTAGAAAATAGGAGGTGTGCCCTCTGGAGACTCTAAACCAGAAACACTGTAGGCCCGAGGAAGCTGGCATAGGCAAGGAAGGGGACAGAACCTCTTACTGTAAAAAGGGAGGTTAAGTGAAATCTGCGTAAGGAATGGTACGCCTCTTGGCTGATTCTCGTGGTAGGCTTTCCAAACTCCGGCAGCTGGGCTTATTTGAGACTGAAAAGCTGTATCTCCACATGACCACTCTTAAATATGATTTGAGGATCTTCAAACATTTGAAAAAGTCACCAAAATACGAACTCCAGATGGAAAAGAGGAAACTTCAAAAAACTGTAACATCCACAAAGAAGTAAGGTAATGCATCCAGAGAAAAAAAGATATAAAGAATATTTTTAAGCCCTGGCTGGTGTAGCTCAGCATAATGAGTGCCAGCCACGAATCAAAAGATCACTGGTTCAACTCTCAGGGCACATGCCTGGGTTGCACGCCAGGTCCCTGGTGGGGGACGTGCGAGAGGCAACCACACATTGATGTTTCTATCCCTCTCTTTCTCTCCCCAGTGCCTTTTCTAAAAATAAATACATAAAACCTTTTTTAAAAAAAATTCCTCCAAACTGAAGGCCATCAAATCAAACAATGCCCACAATGATGGAAAAAAGACCTATACCAAGTTATTTTCTATACTATCTATACTATCTTATTTTCTATACTAAGCTATGCTATCATGAATTTTCAGAACTTCAAGGATAAACAGAAACTCCTAAAACATTCCATGAACAGGAAAAGAAAAGCTGGACGACAATAAAGGACAATGGCATCAAAATTCCAGGTAAATTCCAGAAGTAATTAAATGAGAAAAAGTTAAAGACGGTTGCCTCTTGAGGTTAGGAAGGAACACAGGGGCAGGAAGTGATGGAGCAGGAGATTATTGGGTTATGCAAGCTGTACAGTATTATTAGACATTTTAAACTATGTACATATATTACTTAGAGGGAAAATAAAAATGAAATTTAGAAAACACCAAGTCAATTTCTAAATTACCTTACTAAAGGAATAACTTACCTGAACAACAACTGAAAAGGCCTTTGATTTAATTTTTGCTAATGTTTCTGCCCTTTCACAGCTCTGAAAGTAAAAATATACAAGAAGAGAAAAAGTCAGAACATATAAACATTATGTGAAATTATGAATACCCACAGAAATAAGATTTTAGACAGAGGAAGGGTGTAAGAAAGTAACATCTATTGGACACGTATTGAGTAAAGACACATAAACACACACCACATTCTCACAGCAGGTGCCATGATGCCACCCCCACAGCTACTGAGTATTAAGGAGGATAATATGAAAAGATCATTGGTGATGAAACCATTCCCTCCTCATCAGTCTATGGTCAAAGACGGCCAGCCCTTGTCTCATCCACTGAGTCAGATGAAAACTCCTGAAGCAAGACACTCCACACCAGCTGAAAGACTGATAGAAGTGAGAAAAGACATAACTGTCTGCTCCTCACTCTGCCCCTGCAGGGACCCAGGGCACCTCCAGCATCATCCTGCCCGCCCCCGCTAGAAACGGTTAACACCTACTCCCAATCTACACCTGATGTAGTCTTAGACAAGGTTTCCAGTAAAAAACAGACTAGCTTTCCACAGAACCCCACGTTTCAGAATTTTCTAAGATACTGACCAAGGATGATAATGCTTAATATACAGAATCACAGCCAGACATAAATTAAAAAGAAGTTAGTCAAACTCCTGCACTATAAACAATCAGTGAATTTTTCTGACCTCTGATTCTTGTGAATTTCCTTCCTTCTTTTCTTCTCCATCTTTAACTTTTGATCTTAAAGATGAATTCTGAAAGAGCAAAAATTTCACATATACAAATTAACAATTCAAATTAACTAATAACTGATTGCAAGTCAATTTCATAACAATGAGAATCATTCACTTAATTACTGAAAAACTGAAAGATCATTTCACATTATTGCAGTATGGTTCACCACCTGACATTAAGATCATGGTTAGGTGTCAAAACAGTTGTAAAATTCATCAATAAAATGCCTAAATCCTCCAAATGAAGGACAATATATACTTTATGTGGTAAAGAAAATTGGTTTATTCTCCTTCCCTTCAGGTTTCAGGTCTTAGTAATGCTCATTAAATATAGTTTATTAAAAAAGAGTACTGCCCAGGCCAAGTGACTTGGTTGGTTGGAGCGTTGTCCCGTACGCCAAAGGGTTATGGGTTTGACCCTCCTTGTGTCAACCCTTAGGGCACATACCTAGGTTGCACCCTGATCGGGGTGCCTATGGGAGGCAACTGATCTATGTTTCTCCCTCACATCGATATTTCTCCCTCTCTCTCTCCCCCTCTCTCTCCCTAGAATCAGTAAATATATCCTAAAGTATGGATTTAAAATAATATTTAATAAAAAACAAAATAAAAGAGAGTACTATTCAAACATTCTAAAATGTGCTACATCATTAAAATAAATGTGGGTACAGGAAGCAAAGTATTTCCTTCTCCTCAAGACCGTCATCCCCTCATCACTTTCCTTGTGTATGGTTTTCTAAAATTAATTTGAGCCAGCTCCCTTTACATAATGGAAAGCCAAAAAGTGGCATCAAATATTTCTGAAAAACACTATGAAAGATATCTATCTAGCATTTGAGAAAGCACTAACACATTATCGCACACACAATAAATAATTATAAGTTGCTTATTTTTATTTTTCAGAAGTATTTACTAAAATAAGATGAAGTAGTGATTTCAAAGGTAAATTTAGCAAGGCTAGCCTTCAGATTTCCAGAGTAAATAAACTTCTCCAGCTGAAAAGCTTAATGTGGAGTATAGGTAGCTCTGGCCTCAGTATTTGGATCAGAAAACCAAACTGCAGGTCTGTGTCAATGGGATTTGTAACGGTAATAAACCAAGGCTGGCAGAGCCCACGGGCGAAGCCGCCACGCAGGTGTGGTGGTCTGCAGCCGCACAGCAGGGTGGGACCAGTATGCCAAAGCTCAGACTTTCAAGGGAAGCTGGATGTCTGGAATATCACATGCAGTCTGCAAATATTTAAATGTCAGTAATCAATTCAAAATTGTTAAACAATGTTAGGATCAATGTTGTGCCAAACAAAACACCTCTTTGTGCAGGATTTGGCCCAAAGACGGCTGTGTATCCTCTGGAAAACGCTAAATTATAAACACTGCAATATATCTGTGGTATACCAAGATGGCTCATTCCTCTGTAATTATATATATTATTTGATTATACATTATAAAATTATCATTAATTAGATTTGATTATATACACAATATGTATAACATCTATTTATAAGGTTAAATAACATCACACAGCTAAGAAGTGTCCAAGAAAAGTAACGCCCTCTAAGCCTTAGCTCCACAGGAATGTAGCCGCTCAGCTAGGCTGCCTCTCAACCTCACCGCCCTGTGCAGCCATGTGCACAGTAAAAATGACAAGGTGAGGTCTCAAACAAGCAGTCACATACCTTCCTGTCTTTGTGCCACTGCTGGTGCTCCAAAACTATGTTCTTAATAGTATCGAAAAAATCATCCTTTATCAAGCTGAGGGCTTTGTCTGGATTGGACTTATCCGCTGAAATTACATGTTTCATGTTCTGATAATGGTCATGAACATTCAGCATTTCCTAAAGGTGAAAAGATGAGTCTTTATGTCCATTTTATAGAAGAAACTATAGGCAAAACCAACACAAAATGACATTCCAAAGTGACTGCTGATAAGCAGCAGCATGCTACAGTATATTGAAAATGATATAACCGTGTAAACAAAACAGTACAGCTTTATTAATGAACATAGGCTGCTTTCAGAGGTACGTATCATTCAATTCAATTTAACAAACATGAAGTAACATACACTGTTTGGGAAAAGACTAACTAGTTAATAAAGGATTACACTCCTGGGTATAATAAAAATTACTTATAAAATATCATTGAATATCACTACTGATAATAACTAAGATCACATTTTTTTATATTGTCATTTTGAATATATTTACATAGTTCTTTACCCTCGGCTGGAAGTTTCTGTATTATGACTCCACTTAATCCTCCAGAGATGTGCCGATGACCTTCACAAATTTCAAAGCCTATGTGCCTGTACCCATAAGCTTCATCATTACTTCAGGGTTAAAATGTAGGATCAAAAGAAATAGAGGGGATTTACGACACCATTTGCGGCATTATTTATTCGTCAGACCTTCCTCCCCCAGAAACTTCCATCCGCAGAGGCAGCTCTCAGGGGTAAGGAGAAAGGCAGCACACTGCAGGCGGACTTCCGAAATCAACTAAAACCAGTATTGGGACGTGGCTCAAAGATCTGCAGGGGACTCCTTGACACTTCTTTCACAGATGGCCACGACAACATCTGAGCCACCCCTAGAGTAGGCTACTCAACTCACTTCTAGATTTGGGTGGAATTAACAGGATTTGTTCAAGGAGTCAGAAACTGCTCAGTAGTGACGAGTGCTCATATACGGAGCATCTTCTGCGGAGTAGTTTTGTAGTTAAGGAGGCATAATAAAATGAAGAGAATAAGATACTGAATTAAAACGTCTGATTTTTAATTCTAACTCTGCTACTTAAATATGACCTTCAGCAAATCATTTCATTTCTAAGTCGATTTTTCCATTTATACAGTTATACTAATGACCATTATGTGGTGAGATTTCAGCATGTGCCAGGAACTGTGTTATATGTTTCATGTGTGTTATCTCACCAATCTTCAGAGGGAAAGCACCCAGGCACGCGGAGCCCCTGACTTTTCACAGTTTACGACGTGCTGTACTCCCGTTACTTTACTACATGCAGTACCACACAGGGGAAAGACCACTAGCGGGACCTGGTTTGGGCCCGAGTTCTGTCACTTGCTAGGTTGTGATCTTGAGCAAATCCCTCAATCTGAGAATCATGTTCCACATGTGTACAAAATGGAGTAATGCCACCTAACCCACTGTTAAAATATTAAGTGAGCAAATACAAGTGAGAGTGTTCTGCCTAATGTAAAGCATTAATATAATTAAGTATTATGAAATAAAAGAAAGTGCCTAGGCTTTGGAGTCTTACAGGCTTGGACATTTAAATCAAATGTCTGAACCTTAGTTTCTGCAAATTACTTAACTTCCCTGGGCCTCGGTTTCCTTGTTTTTAAAATTAGGAAAACACCACCTCCTCTGCAAAGTTACTATGAAGATTAGCGAGATAACACACATGAAACATATAACACAGTTCCTGGCACATGCTGAAAACTCACCACATAACAGTCATTAGTTTAACTGTATAAATGGAAAAACCAACTTAGAAAGGAAATAATTAGCTGGAGGTCATATTTAAGTAGCAGAGTTAGAATAAAATCAGACATTTTAATTCAATATCTTATTCTCTTCATTTTATTATGCCTCCTTAGCCACAAAACTAGAACTACTGAGTGGCAGAAGGCTGACCAGAATTCAAGTGTGCTAACATGGAGACAAAAGCAACTGCAAGCAGTAGATGGAAAGAAGAAAAGTACTAAATTTAAGGATCATCAATGAGTATGGGCCAAAGGCTCTACAAGGACAGATAGGACCAAGAGAGGTATTGACAGAAAAGGCTCTCAAAGTAGGTCTGTGGCAAGCCAAAGATGGAGATCAAGTCAGGATGACTCCACACAGACTGCTCCATTCCGAGCAGCTTCTAGGAATAGGCATTTCCAAGCCTCGCCCTTCTGACCTTCCTCTCTAATCACCCTAAAAGCACAGGCATTTGTGCCCTGGCTGGGGCTCAGGTGGTTGGAGCACAGCCCCAAACACCAAAAGGCTGCAGGTTTGACCCCCAGTCAGGGCACATACCTAGGTTGTGGGTTTGGTCCTCAGTCGGTGCATGTACGGGAGGCAGCCAATTGATTTTTCTCTCTCACATCAGTGTCTCTCTCTCTCTCCCCCTCTGCCTCTCTCCCTAAAAATCAATAAACGTAAAAAAAAAAAGGCCTTTGTGCATCACCTCAGCTCTGTTCTCTTAGATCTTCCTAGTTTGCAGTGAGTTTTTAAATAAGCTTGTAAAAAGGAACTTAATAAATATGTATTGTTAAAAAAATAACATGAAAATAAAATCACTTAAATTCTTGTTGTATGACCTATCCAAAAAATCAAAGACAGATGGTGGTTTTAGTATCTGAATGTAAATATCCTGAGTCCAAGTCTAGTCTTCTACATCTTTTTTTTTTCCCCCCCAGATGAATCAAGCATTTTATTTAATTACAACAAGGAAACACTCACTTATTCTTTTCTTAAAAAATAACATTCAGCCCTGGCCAGCATGGCTCAGTTGGTTGGGTATCATTCCACAAAGCAAAAGACTGCTGGTTCAATTCCCAGTCAGGGCACATGCCTGGGTTGCAGGTTTGGTCCCTGGTCTGGGAGCTTACAAAAGGCAAACTATCACCGTTTTTCTGTCACATCAATGTTTCTCTCCCTCTCTCTAAAAATAAATAAAATCTAATTTAAAACTAAATACACTCAGGCTTATGTTGAAAATACTACCTAGGTAGTCTTGCAGAACATTATTTTGTTTCAATGACGTTACTTGCCACTCTATCCTGGAACTGTTGAGATTTGAAATCATGTCTGTCCTGTGCACTGCAGGAAACTAAATGAGACTTCACCCGTGTCACTGAGTTCCTCAGTCTCTTGTTTTCTATCACCCATCACAATTAGACCCAGAACAATTAGATCAACTTCACAGAACATTTGAAAAATAGTTAGATCTTTGCATAATAACCCAGCACCCTCCAGGTTTTTAAAAGTGAAGAATGTTACTTGTGCAAGTCAGAATCTGACACCAGTTAAATGGTGCCAGCTTTGCCCGTACACAAGGACACGCTCTTCCACGGCTACGAGGGGAGACTGCCACGGCTGACAGGTCCCAAAGACACATGGGACTCATACATCTTTGTTTCCAGCTGTGTTTCAAGATTTTATAAATTTTCATATATTTAGGGTATGTTATTTCTAATACTTTTGAGGAAATAATATGCATTCTATGGTTGTTTAAAGCCACTAAAAATTTTTCAGTAACCAGTAGAAAAAGGTATAACCTCATATGGTTAACAGTAAAACACTTGTTTTTACATTTCAAGAGAATAAAAGCAAATTTACCTCTAATACATCAGAAGTGATAAGTTTCATTACACGATCATTTGGGTCTTTAAATTCTTCTGTAACTTCAGCTCGCTGGATTTTTTTCTTCATTCTACATGACAGCTATATGATAATGAATGTCTTTTAAAGTATATTTTTTTAAGTATGGAAATAAGTATGATAGCAACAAAAACTGTCTATCAGTAAACATAAATGACACAAAAGCAGCACTAAGTATATTTATTAAATAATCAATTTTTCAAAGACTATTATACTTTTAAAATAACCCTTACGATAACCCAAGTGCTTAGAAACTCAAATGAGACTCAGAGAAGCCCCATATTTGCCAGCTGATGGCAGAGCCAGAACTAGAACCTAGTGCTCTTCTAATCTACTGTCTCAACTGGCGTAAGATCAAAGAAATATCGTATCTTATTAGTGAAAGTTTCAACTTTCCACCAACTGACATTCAAATTCTTTGTCCCTCTTTCAATGGTACCCCCTCGGATGTCTGAATGAAAAACAATGAACAAATGCAGATGCTGAATATAACATGCTCTTCTAACAATCTGCTTACCAGACAGTATTTGGAAACACATCGCATTTAAAAGCAGAGACTGAATTTTGTTTGCAACAAAGAGTAATCAGAGAGCATTTTCTCCTTTCTTAAGAAGCCTTTCTACAAGTATTAGAAACTATATAATAATGTTCTTTCCACATTATGGAGACTGAGATACTTTAAAGGACAATGAAGTATAATTTTTCACTTTGAAGAAACAATTTTAGGGGCCATACCAGCTTGGGCATTGCTGTAAAGTGAAATGCTTTGTCTAGTCGTAGCTTCCTAAAAATATAGGCTGCATCATAATGCTGTGCATTTATCAAATCTTGCTGAAATTTTAAAACTTCATCCCAGTCCTTCAGGGCAACTCTAATCTGCAAACAAGAGAAGTAAAAAAGTTGTTACTAAATGTAAATCTTCACAAATGTTTTAGAGTTTTGAAACACTGGCATTTCTACATAAATCCGTTTGCTGTAAAAATAAGTACCCATTTTGTGTTTCTGCTGATGGAAAACAACTCATCGGTATTACCTTTTGTTTGGGTTGACACAGTTGGGTGTTATATAATCCATACAGCAGATACAAAGCACCAACTCTGATCTGGAAGGTATATGGAGGTAAAAAATATCGCCAAGCCAAAGCTAAAGCTTCTTTTGTAAACGTGTTCTTCTCTAAATTTCTCATTTTACCACTAGAAAACAAAGAGAAAAATATGTTGTGACTTTAAATAAATAATGAACAAGAAAATAGAAGAGGTATATTCTAGCAGCTACTAGAAACTGGATGGGCATTCTACATCTGCTCTCTTCCTGATTCAAGCACTAAAACCTAATCTTGGTTGTGTTCCGTCCACGGAGGAATAGGCATATACTAGGTAAACAGGATACAGCTACATAAAGCATCAACTTGACGAGAACTGGGGAGCAAAAGGAGAGGGGTTACAAATTACTCCCAGTTAAGAATTTAAAACATTTAATAAAGTAACTATGGTTATGTTACAGAATAAAATACATAAGCTACATGCATTTTAATATATAATAGATATTTTCCTCAGTACTCTCAGGGATTCACACGAAACCTCATTTGCCCTTGGGACATCTAGGTAAAAAAGTTAGAGACTACAATACAATGTATCACATCCCTCCTTCCAATTCTTCAGGGCAAAGCTCACCATAGGAAAGTAGACTCCTCTGTACTCCCAAAGCCTGGTCTCTCCAAATAACCATTAATACAGTAAAAGAATGCAAAATACCTACTGTAAGTATAGGCAACCAAAGCAACTTCTAAAGAAAATTTGCCATTCCTCAGGTGGCTCTACCTTTTTCCTCCTTTTAGTTTTTCCTCATTAGCTAAAAGTTGAGGTGACCCCAGCAAAATGTTCCTGAACTACCACTTTTCCCAAGAGGGTTACAATGAAAGATCATGGGTTTGGGAAACAGGCAAACATATAGATTTCAATATCTGCTCTGCTACCTACTGGCTTTGTGATCAGGAAGAAATTACTTAAATTCCTTAAGTCTCAATTTCCTCATCTATAACACACCCATTCTACCTGCTTTTCAGAGTTGTTCTATGGATTAAATACATTAAGCTATAAATGCATTATATTTAATAGACATTTTAAAAATTAGTCTCTCTCCTATCATTATTCGTACAACAGCTCTCCACCCTCCATCCCTACAATGTACAAACTACATAGGTAATTTACATCAACAGAGAGAAAAAAGAGAACTTCTATATTTTACTCAGCAAAACAAAGTTTCAATCACAAGAACTCCTTTATCAATTATTTAGCCTTTCCAATATTTTATGTATTATGCCAAAGGACACCAGATCCATCCAGTCACTGTCCTCTCAGAGCTCTGTCTAATGGAGGGAATATTTAAAAATAATAGCAAAACTGAACATTTACTAAGCACTTAGAGTGCACTTAACATATATTAATTAGCTTCTTTAATCATCAGAACCGAGGTATTACCATTGTCCCTCTTTTACAGATAAGGAAGCTCAGGTAAGTAACTTGACAAAAGTCACAGTCAGTGGACTCAGGTTCAAATTCAGGCAATTGGGTTCCATAATCTGTACTCTTAAACACTAATACTTTTTTTTTAACTACACACAATATAATGTATAAGAAAGGAAGAGCGGAATTCCTCACTTAGTCTAGAAGACCAAAGGAAGGCTTCCCTGAGGAATGGGCATTTGAATTATAAACGGAGTGAAGAATGAAGTGGCCAGGCAGGGGGAGTTGGGAGAAAGCTCCAGGCTAAGCAAACACCTGTAGAGGCCTAGGGAAGGCCTGTAGAGGGCTGGGGCAAGACAATGAATGCACGGAGATGGGTCCTGAAGCTGCAAAGAAGGACAGAGGCCAATCACAACCGGTCTAACCAACCCAGTTAGGAAATTTGAGCTGTATCCCAAAGGCAATGGAAACCACTGAGGGGGTAAGCAAGGGATTGCCCTGGTCAAATTTGCACTTTTGAAAAAGAACTCTGGTTGTTACAGGTAAAATGAATTCAAGCGTATGTTCTGTCTTTGCTTAGGTGTTTCTTTTGTTTTGAAATAAGGGGTTCCAGGAGAAACCCCTTAAGGACTGGAGGAGGGCAAACGATGGTAACCTAGGTCAGGCTGGGCAGTGGAGCTGTAAAGGAGAGTTTAGAAGGGCGTCCAGGCACAACCACATACTCAAGAAGAGGCCGCAAAAGGATGCAACCGAAGGCAATGAAATCACCCAGGGAAAGCACGTAGCCTGAGCGAAGAAGGCGGCCCAGGAGAGATGGCAGTAGCCTTCAGAGAATGCCATTTTCCTAAGCCCTTCACAGGTGCGGGGAGTGGGGGGAGGAGAGGAATGGAGGTGGGGGTGCAACTACCTACGCCGCGTCCGAGGAGACGCGGGCAGAGAGGTTAGCAGCGGACGAGAAACACCCACCAGAAGATGGTCCCAAACTTCATGCTCCTCCAGAGCTCCGTGAAGTCCTCGAAGCGAACACTGTCCATCTCTTGGAAGCGGCTGAGCAGCGCCTCACAGTCGGCCTGCAGGCCTGGAGGGGTCCCCATACCTGCAAAGCCGGTGCTTACCACGAGTTGTTGCAGACCCGGCGGTCGCCGAGGTAACGTAGCACGGACGCCCCGCCTCCGACGGCGTGACGCACACGCGCTCCGTGACGGCTGTCCGACTCCGTTAGCTCCACCTCCAACCAGACCCTACCTAAGCGGTAGCATTGCTCACTGCGCGTATGCTTCAACTGTTAGTCGAAGGACTAAGAGCAGCCCTTTTAATTTCTTTGAAAATGTTTATATCTCAAGTGTCATGTGAGCCCAGGAAGGAATTTAGGTCTACATTAGGCTAGTTTATGAAAGTTGGCTTTACCCTTACTATCACTCTTCTTTAAGGTGGGAGAGTGACAGAATTCAGCTTTTAATAGGCAGGGAAGAACGGTTCGGACCCTCAACGCTCCCCCTGGTGGAAAGAAGTCAAAAGAGGGTTTACTAGGAAATGGCCTGGACTCATTGTCTTAACAGTCTGTATCTACACAACAGGGAGCTTCCTCGGAGGCTCTCTCGTTATAGACCAAGCTGTCTTCTGCAACCACTCTTTTTTGTTTTTGTTTTTGTTTTCTTTTTGAGAATTTTTATAAAAACGTATTTGAGGCGAACAGGATACACCTGGAAGCAAGATCTCACCAGACTGAGATAAATGCTTACTGCAACGTCTCTTGAGGAGTTGTTTTGTAAACATCTCCCCACCACCACCCACCCAGGGCTACTCTACAGTCTAGCATAGTGCTTAACAGAAAGTATTTACCTTATGTATACTATTATTTGGCTAAATTGGCTTTCTCTATACACTCCAACTCTTAGCTTATCCCTGGAACTAGATATGAAGTAGTATTTTGTACTTTTCACCATTTCTCTGATTGCAGGGCATGCTGGTTTTATTCCTTAGGAGCAGCATCCTAATATAATAGGAAAGCATGGGCTTTCTGTCTGTAAATGGCGATTCAATTCACTTTACTGATCATTGATCTATTTTTTAATTTTATGTATACAGAATAACATGTAATGTGTGCAATAAAAAGCATAGCAGAAATATGAACATCTGTGTGCATTCTACCTGTGTGGAAAACAGAATATTACTAACACTGCCACGTTAATGTGTGAATTCCTCCTTTAAATTCTTGCCTGCCTCTGCCACTACCTTGATAACAACTATCTTATTTTGTTCCTCATTATCTTGTATATGCTTTATCATATGTGTATGGCTACCTAAACCAGATATTGTTTAGTTGTGGATGGTTTTGTGTATGAAAATGGTAGTGCAATGTATAAAACATATTCTTTGAATTGCTTATTAAACTTAGCAATGTTTCTAAGATTCATTCATGTTATTACTCATAGCTGTAGTTCATTCATTTTTACTCCTGCCTAATATTCCATTGTGTGAAAATACAGTTTATCCATTATTTCCTCAGTGCATATAAACAATGCCATGAACACTTGTACATGCCTCCTCTTATTTGTAGGATCCCAACCAGATAAAGCATATGAGGCCCAATAAAATTTGAATTTCAGATCAGATTTTTTAATTATTTATTATTTATCTTAAATACCATTTAACTCACCATCCATTTCTTTGTATGCTAAACATGGCAATTCTACTCTACAGTCTAGAGTATATACACCTATGAGTGGAATTGTTGGGTAATAATTGTTGCAAATGTAAAATTTTAAAAGATAATGTTAAATCATTTTTCTAGAGCGGTTGAGCTGATTTACATTTCACTATCAGTGAGTGAAAGTTCCCAATTCAGCCATATCAATTCAGAACCTTGGTATCTAATTGTGGTCTTAATATGCGTTCCTCTGATTATTGATATAGTTGTATATTTTCTGAAGTTCTGATTTTTATTTATATTTCCTCTTCTGCAAATGTTGTTTATATATTTTGTTCATATTCAATTGGGTTGTTTGCCTTTTTCATATTGATTTGTAAGGTCACCTTATATATTCTAAAAACTAAACAGGTTTCTTTTATGTATTACAAATATCTTTCCCCAGTTTGTAACTTGCTTTTATTTACTATGTTTATGGTGATTTTCAATGTACAGAAAATCTTCTTTTTAGTGTAGTCAATTTTTAAATCTTTTCTGATAAGGACTTGTGTATATTAGGACCACAAATATTTTCCCTCTATTACATTATCAGTTAAGCTAATACAAATAGTATAACTAATAAATCTTGATTTCTCAGTGGCTTAACATAAATGAATTTTACTTTTCTTTCACATTAATTTCACTTAATGGCAAGATGGTATGGGAAGGGTTCTGCTCCAAAAAGTCACCTGAGGACCCAGGCAAACGGAGACTTAAAATCCTCAGCTACTGGCTTTCCAGGCCACCCTGATTATAGACAGCTGCCCGTAGACACGGGAGGAAAGAGAATGTGAAATGCATGAGAGGTTTTTATAGGCTATGTTTGGAAGTGGTGTACACTCAGAAGACAGTCTGCTGACCTCTGCTGGTCTGAAAACTTTTATTACCCCTCCCTCACCCAGTAGTACAGAAATAGAAAATAAGTGTTCGGTAAACTTCTAATAGCAATTTGACAAAGTAAATTTGTTTGTTCAATCTAATAATTAAAAATGGGCTTGTATTTGGTGTGCATTTTAATTTTTTTAATTTTTATTTATTGATTTTAGAGAGAAGGGAAGGGGAAGAGAGAGAGAAATATCAACTTATTGTTACACTTATTTATGCATTCATTGCTTACTTCTTGTATGTACCCTGGCGGGGATTGAACCTGCAAACTTGACATATTGAGACAATTCTCTAACCAATTGAGCTACATGGCCGTGGTGTCGGTGTGAACTTGCAAATTTCAATTTTTCTGGTTATGTATTTTTATTTTAGCTTTACAAAAGTATTGATCCATGATAAATTGGGAAGAAGTGATGCATTACCACAGATAGTGTGAGAAGCACTGGTGTACACCACTGTATTTCAGTCTACATTCCATTGTCCAGAACTCATTTATGTGGCACCATTTAGAGGCAAAGAGACCTGGGAAGTATAGTCCCTACCTGGGCAACCTTTTCCCAACAACAACTTCAGCCTGTGAAAAAGGTGCACAATCCCTCTTGAACTGCCAGCATTACTGCCACAATATTTTAAACCTCTGTATCCACCTAAAAACGATTTCTGTGGATGGTATGAGTCAAGGATCCAATTCCACATTTTTGCATATATACACGATGTATATGTGCATGTGTTTATGTGTAATTTCCCAGCATCTGTGGTTGCATGGTCCATCCTTTCCCCAGTGATCACTCCTGTCATGTATCATTCGTGTAGGGCTAACTGAAGCCAGTACACAACTCTATGGCTCTGCACCTGTTGTTAAAATACTGAAACATCTCCACTATTGTTAGCAAATAGTTACTGTCTTGAGCCTCCTTACTGCCCTCTACACCACTACTTGCCCACCCAGGCCCCTCCCCTGAAGTCCCCAAACCTCCCCACAATCCAAAAATGAAAGGGTTAAGCCTGGCATGGGAAGAGGCCCCCAGGACCCACTCTAGCTTCAGTCTGTATCTGGGGTCACAAACATCTATCTACTTCCAAAGGTTAATTTAGATTTTGCTACACTGATACCATACTTTGATTACTACAACTTTAAAAATATCTGGAAAAGAAAGTTCTCTCATCTTCTTTTTCTTCAGGAGTAACTTGATTATTCTTAAACTTTTGATTCTTCATAGAAATTTTTTGTTTTATTTTTATTTTATTTTATTGTTTATGCTATTACAGTTGTCCCACTTCCACCCCTGTGCCCCCCTCCACCCAGCCCACCCCCCACTTCCATAATCAGTCCCCTTACCATTGTCCATGTCCATGGGTCCTTCACATATTCTTGACTGATCCCTTCACCACCTTTCAATCACAGAAATTTTTAAATCATGTTCTCAAACATCTTTAATCATGCCACTTGGATTTTGATTGATTGCATTAGCTTTGAGTCAATTTGGTGCAGAATAACATCTTTACTATATTGAGACTTCTTACCCATACATTTGTCATTTCAGCATCTTCCCTAAAGTTTTATTATTTTTTCCATAAATTTTTTAAATTAATTTTTATTCTATTTTTTTCATTACTGTTTATCCCCCTTATACACCCTTCCACCTGCACCCACCCCACACCCCTCTCCATAAACTTTTATGTATATTTTGTTAGATTTATCCCCGCATCCCTTGTTTCTCTGTAGCTATTGTCTTTTGTATCTTTCACTTCCTTTCATTTTCTAATTGCTTGATTACAATATATAAAAGCCACTTCTGGCCAAGATGGAGGCATAGGTAGACACACTGCGCCTCCTCACACAACCAAAATAGGGACAACAACAATATAGAAACAGAATAACAACCAGAACTGACAGAAAATTGAACTGTATGGAAGTCAGACAACCAAGAAGTTAAAATGGGCCCGATCATCCAGACCGGTAGAAGGGGCGGAGTCCGGCAGCCTCGGCGACGGTCGCAGCACAGAGAGCGGAGAGCATTGGGAATGGGCGTGTAAGGCATCCGGGGCGCACTAGACTGCAGTGGGTGGACACTGAGCGCGCAAGCAGCAGCTGGCAGACCCAGCGAGGCAGGAATTGTGAAGCAAGACATTGCATGCAAACCAGGATCCCAGCCCTGGGAAATAGAGCCTGGGGACATTGAAAACACCCATGGGGGTTCAGGCGCAGGGACAGACTCCCAGCTTCAGAGGAGATGTCCTTGGAAAGTCCCACGGAGTGCATAAGCTCACCCACACAGGAATCGGCACCAGAGAGGCCCAGTTTGCTCTGGGGAAGCGGCAGAGGGGACTGAGGTCTGATGGAGAGCAGAGCAAGCGCCATTGTTCCCTCTCGGACCCCACTCCCACATACAGCATCACAACCCAGCGACTGGGGTGCCCTGCCCTGGTGAACACCTAAGGCTCCACCCCCCATACAAAACAGGCACAACCAGACCAAAGAGGGAAAAAAAAAAGATGGCCCAAACAGAATTGAAAGCCCCACAGTCAGTACTTTTAAGTGACCAAGAGATAGCCAACCTATCAGATGCACAGTTCAAAACACTGGTG